TGTGTGTGTGTGTGTGTGTGTGTGTGTGTGTGTGTGTGTGTGTGTGTTTTAAATTAACTGGAAAGTGTTGGAATGCCAGCTTCAGGAACTTAAAATGTGAGCTTAAGCCCTGCCATGGAAAAAAATGTGACTCAGCTTGGGTTCACACTTTTACTAACATACTGGGAATGGACCTTAAAAAATTAATTTCTTACAGAAATGTGACCTTATAAGCACATGACCTTACTGATTATTGGTTAGGTAGGGAAATATATATATATACGTATATAATCTTTCATCCTAATAAGTAAATTGTGTGCAGTAGAAAGAACCTTGAACTTGGAGGCAGTTGGGACACTTGGGTTCAAATCCCAGCTATTCCTCCTACTTTCTGTGTGACTGTAAGCAAGTCATTTAACTTCCTCAGACCTCAGTTTTCTCATCTATAAAATGGGTGGGCTTTTGAGGCTCCTTCCAGCTGGAGATCTGTAATTCTGACAGTTGGCTAAGCTAGCTTTGAATTTAAATTGCCTTTTTTTACTCCATGCTTTATATTACAGTATCTGTGTCCTTGTACTTGTCTACCTCCCTGCACATATGGAAGCAAACGGTTTTGTTTTGCCTTTCCTAGTCCTGATTCCACCTGCTAGTACCTTTCTCCTCTGAGAATTCCTTCCTTCTACTCAGCCTATATTTTATGTGACCTTGTTATTTGTATGTCAGCTCTTTAGAATAGGAGCTCCTTGAAGGCAGGCATTTTTCACCTTTGTATCTTCAGCACTTAGCACAATGTCCTGTATACAGTAAGCACTGGATAGATGCTTGTCCATTGATTGACTGATTGATTGCTTTTATTCACAGAGCCTGGCACATAGAAGGTACTAGATAAATGAGGGATATTTTACTGATGACTTTTTTGTTTTTGCCACAATCATTTCCTCATATTACTTCACTCCTTCCAGCTTAGAACCCTCCCTTGTAGCAAAGAAAAACAATTCATCTTAACTAATTGACATAGTAACTGGTTCTGAAAACAATTTCCCCCAGTTTTCCACTATGAGGAAGGCAGCAGATTTCATCATCCGTTCTCCAGAAGTACGTGCTGAAAAAATATTTGCTAAATGCTGAGAAATTAAATTGACTTCAAAATTGTTTTTTTAAGGTGACCCATCTATTCCCTAAATATTTCCTATATCAATTTTTTTAAGGTGACCCATCTATTCCCTAAATATTTCCTATATCAATTTGGAACCCAAAGTTTTAAAAACAAAAGTTAAAAAAATTGTTTTCACATGCTATTGGAAAATAAGATATACAGGAAATGGAGTATAGAAATCTATCCTGCCCTACAGGAAAATTGAAGGGGAAGGGGATAAGAGAAGGGGGGGGAGAGATAGAAGGGAAGGCAGATTAGGAGAAGGGGTATTCAGAATTCGTACCATCTTGGAGGGGGGAGGGAGGAGATGAGGAGAAAATCTGGAACTCAAAATCTTGTGCAAGTGAATGTTGAAAACTAAAAATAAATTAATTAAAAAAATTTTTAAAAAAACTTCCTATATCATATACAGGGATAGTGTCTAGACCTGTGATTTTGTTAGTATGGGGAACTCCCAAGTGAGGGAACTCTCTTTACTAGATACAGGTTGGCATCTTCTCTGCTATTTATCATCTTAGAGAGAAACTTAGAACACTTAGAGGTTAAGTGACTTGCCCAGAGTCACACTGTCTAATGTGTCAGAGGAAAACCTTGAACGAAAGTCTTCCTGGCTCTGAGGCTGGTTCTCTATTCCCCTCCTAGAGTGCCACCATACTGGGAATCTTAAAACCAAAATGATATTTTTCCAATTCATAGTCACCATAAAGAATTGATAACAGAACTCTCCACCCAGTCTAAGATGTTTTAATTATTTAGCAAAAGCAATGCAGGCAGTTATTATAATTAGTGAGATACTCAAGAGCTAGAGTTCCATACTCACCCATGGCTGAGTTTGTGTTTCCCAACTTTGGGGTTTGGCTCCATTCCCAGCTCCCACCTACTCTGTTCCCTCTCCCAAAGTAGAGTGCCTTATGACATTTAGCCATATTTAAATGCATTAAAATTCGTTTTCCTTAGAGACTTTTTCCCCTTCAGAATTTCACAACATTGCATGAGCTCATTTGCGTCCCGCCCCCAGCAGGTCCTCAGACCACAACTGGGCATCTCCTGGCTGTTCCTGACTATTAGCAATTACAGCCCTTAGGGGCAAGGAAGAATAAAAAGTCCTTGTATAGCATTTAAATTAACCAACAAGAGGCCTTGTGAGAAGAAACTAATATCTGATTGGCTTGTTTCCTAACTAGATGCTCCTCCCTGCTTTTGTATTTATTGGGCTGGAAGAGGAAGACTGCTGTGGATGCTGCGGCCATGAGAACTGTGGGAAGAGCTGTGCGGTAGGTTTTCTCTTCCTGACTCCCACACTCTGTCCCGCTGATGGGTCACAGGTCATTTCTAAGCCTCAGTTTCTTCCCTAGATGCTCTCCTCCGTGCTGGCGGCCCTCATCGGAATTGCAGGATCTGGTTACTGTGTCATCATCGCAGCTCTTGGCTTAGCTGAAGGTCCCCGATGTTTAGACAACTATGGCAAATGGAACTACACCTTTGCCCACACCAATGGAAAGTACGTAGTGTTTTACGCACCTGGCAAAGCCCACTTTTCAGGACGCATGGAAAGAAATGTACTTTTTAGCAACCTGGTGTAGAGAGCTAGGAGGGACTTTAGAGGTCATCTGCTCCAAACTCCTCATTTTACAGATCAGGAAACCGAGGTACAGCAAGATTAAGCGATTTGCCCAAGGACAAATAGGGAGTGAGTTGATGAACAGGGATTTGAACTAGGTCCTTTGAATTCAGGGCAGAGAGTACTTTCCACTAAATCATTCCGCTTGACTGAGTGGATTGAGTGTCAAGGATTTTCTGATTAAATGAAAGGATATTTCACCATTGTGATAGATGTTATTAGTGTTACTGATTATTACATGAATTTAGTTATATCACAGGTCAAGGTCAAAACAAAATTAGCCATGTGTAGTAAAGCTAAGATAAACAGGGAGTCTCTAAAGTCTTACTGAAGTTTTAAGCTTAAAACTTCAAAACTTCAGTAAGACTTTTGGGACATCCTGCATGTGTATACACACATGCATGTGTACATACATAAATATACACACAAATGCATATATGTATGTATATTAGACACATTCATATGTAATACTGCCTATATGTAATCCTCAGCCAGTTGGCACAGTGGATCGAATGCAGGGTCTGGAGTCAGGAAGACTCATCTTTCCAAGTTCAAATCCAGTCTCAGGTGCTTACTAGCTGTGTGACCCTGGGCAAGTCACTCATCCCTGTTTGCCTTAGTTTCCTTATCTGTAAAATGAGCTGGAGAAAGAAACAGTAAACCATCTAATATCTCTGCCAAGAAAACCCCAAGGAGTTGGACAAAACTGAACAATGTATGTAACATATATATATGGCATATATGTACATACACACAAGTATACATGTATTTACACATATACATATATTATAGTTAAGTTATACTAAATATATAATATATACTATATATAATGATATATTATTATGTTACATAATAATATATAATATTACAATATAATAATATTATTATAACATAGAGCTATTGTTCCTGGCCCGAAGGGCAGTGTAATTAAGGGGTTCTCACCAATATATTTTAGCATTTACATCTTGTCAGGGACACAGTGTGATGCAGTAGAAAGAGCAGTGGACTTAAAGTCAGGAGTCATGGGTTCAAATCCTAGATGTTATACTTAATAGCTCTCTGAGCGAGTAACTTAACCTCTCTTATTCTTATTTTCTTCGTCTGCAGAATGAGGGGTAATAATCCTGATAAGTATATGCCTAACAGGGCTTTAATGAGGAAAGTGATTTGTAAAACCTTTAAGTATTGTATTCATGTGAGTTATTATCAAGAGAAGTCAGGAGAATATCTAAGAGAATGGCGTGGATATTCAGACACAGGTTATGATTAGAGAACATTTTCCCTTTGACACGGAGTCATTCAAGGCTGGCCCTTGTCCAGTTTCCTTTAATCCCTTCTGAATTCATTTTAAAAATTTCAATCTTTCATTTTGGAGGGCGGGGGAAGATATCTATGAACTCAGGAAGGTCATCGTACAGTATTTGATTCTTCCCTACGATCACCAATTGGGCATTTGACATCTCTTATATATGTATAACAAGTTATTCTCACTGTTAGTTTATAGCCAATACAGCGTAGTTGTGGAATCCAAACTAGTAGTTAGCATTTAAAGAATTGCAACATGTGACATTAAACTAGTCCCTGAAGAATAATAATGATTTATAGAGCACTATAAAATTTGCCAAGTGTTTTACATACATTACCTCAATTAAGCCTGGTAAGAGCTTGGTGAATGAAGGGTTCCTACACATATTATTAGCCTCATTTTATAGATAAAGGAACTGAGCCTCAGAGAAGTTAAGTGATTTACACAATGGTCACATAGCCAGGAAATGTCAAGGGTAGCTTATGAACCCCAACCTCCCTGATGCCAGTTCCAATGTTCTATTGCCAACTCCATTTTGTCTTTTTGGAATAACCCACGCAGTGGGTCCTGCTAATTTCTTGTTCAGAGCAAGAGATCTATTTCATATGTGCATAACCATAGGGAATTATACCTGTCATGAAGAAATTAAGACTATTGCAATAGGAGTGTAGAGAAGGATGACATTCTCCTTTTTGGCCCCACTTGACCATGTCAAACAATGGCTGGATTGCTTCAATATATTTCTCTGAGCTTTTTACGGATGAAGAAACTGTTAAGGGACTAGCTGAAAATATAACGGGAGTAAATGTCAACGCTAGCGTTTGAACTCAGGTCCTTTGACTCCAAATCCAGCTCTTTTTCCACCTGTAGCAACACTTGTCAAAGTGTGATCTGGGGACCGAAGGGAGTCCCTGAGACTCTTTCAGCAAGCCTACAAGATCAAAGCTATTTTCATAATAATACTTTGTTATTATTGCTGTTTAGTCATGTCCAACTCTCTGTGACCCCATTTGGGGTTTTCTTGGCAGAGATACTGGAGTGGTTTGGCGTTTCCTTCTCCAGCTCTTCTCACAGATGAGGAAACTGAGGCAAACAGTGACTTGCTCAGGATGACACAGCTAATAAATGTCTGACCAGATTGGAACATAGGAAGATGAGTCTTCCTGACTCCAGGACTGGCATTCTATCCACTGCAACATCTAGCTGCCATAATAATACTAAGACTTTTTAATTTTTCATATGGCAAATAACAATAATTGTGCCCATGTAAATAAAAGCTAGGGGGTGAGGGTGTCCCCAATACTTTTTTAAGAAAGTAAAGATGTTCTAAGAGCAAAAAGTTTGAGAACCGTTACGCTACGCCATGTTGTCTCTTAAGCAGAAACCTACATGAACCAATGACCTAACTAGCTAGACCTTTATACAAACAGATCACAAATGACCTGGGCCTACATTTAGCTGAATTGTTGGGCTAAAAGTTGAGTGGTTCTCAAACTTATTTGTCACCACGCATAGAGATACATTCACAACACATGCCAATGATTTATATGGGAGAATCTAAGCTTATAACACTGTTAAGGACACTAAGCAACCTTCTGGTTCTATAGATGTGTATATATACATGTGCACAGACATATAGTCATCTATATGTATATGTGTGTGTATATATCTGCATATATATGTGGAGAGAGAGAAGAAAGGGAGGAGAGAGAAGAGAGAAATAGGAAAAGAGAGAGAAAGAGATAAGAGAAAAAGAGAGAGGGAGAAAGAGAGAAATAGAGGTAAGAGAAAGAGAAAGAGAGACAGGCAGAGAGTATTTAGCATTTTAAGATTTGCAGAGCTCTTTACATTTAATAAAAATGATCCTTATAATAACCCTGGGAGGCAGGTGCTGTTATTATCTCCCTTTTACAGATGAGAAAACTGAGGCAGGATTTAAATTTAACTCTTCCTGGCTCTAGACATCCATTATACCCACAGAGCCACCTAGCTGCCTTTTTTTTTTTTTGGATTTTAGATAAAGCATTGTTTTTATTTGTATCAAACTCATCATGCCTTATCCACATCAAAATTTAAATCATAACCTGCTTGCCCCAAGCTCTCAGTATTCTCTTGGTCTGCTGCTTTCACTGATACCCACTAGTATGTACTCAGGAAATAGGGACTGATTTTAATTTAACTCTAAGAAAAACACCATCTGGGTCATATTTGTTTACAGCAGAAGCCCCCGTATTGCTATTTGGTGTCTGTATTGATGATAGGACCATAGACCTGAGGTTGGACAGGATCTCAAAGGCCATCCGATGCTACCCCCTCAGTCTGCTTAGAAGGAAATGAAAGCCCAGAAAGGTTAAGTGACTTGTGTGAATTCATTCAAGTTGCAAGTTTTAGAAGAGGAGGCTTGAGCCCAGGTCCTATGACTCCCTTACCTTGGGAACCACACTGTAGCAGCTTAATCTTGATGTTGCACTAAGTATGCATGTTGTAATATTTTTTTAAATTTTTTTTAGTTTTAATATTTTAACTTAATTCCCAAATGATATTTAAGACAAATTATAATGAAGACAATCATGATGAACATGATAAACAGCTGTCGGGCCTGGCTGTAGGTTAAATTTGGGTCTTTCGTATTATGCATACAATAATAACTTATCACATGTTAATATAATATTGTATGTTGATATTAACAACATTATTATATCAATATATAAGATATTATAATATAATGATATCTTTATATATTATTAAAAATAAAAATTATATCCTGTTTTTAGATCACCTTCATTTCTGAATATATTTCTCCCTCCTCATAACAAAGAATTTTAAAAGAAATAAAAATTAATTCAGCACAACTAACCAACATATCAACGTTGTTTGACAGGGTTTGTAGTGTTTCCAACCCACAGTGCCCAACCTCTGCAAGGAAAGGAGGGAGGTGCATTTTCTCATCTCTTCTTTGGGACCAAGCTTGGTTATTATTATCTCATATGTGTTTGCTATTTTAGAGAGAATATTCATTGTCCTTCCGAAGAAAGGAGTGATTGGGATCATAGATTTAGATTTGAAGGGGATCTGAGAGAGCCTCCATCTCAATTCTTTCCTCCCCCCATTTTACAGATGAGGAAACTGAGGTCCAGTGGAGTTGACTTATCCAAGGTCACAAAAGAAACAAGTATCTGAGTTGGTTATATCAAAACCAGGTCCTTGGACTTTAAGTACAGCACCGTTGGCATGCTGGACTTTGGGGGTAACAAATTCAGCTTTTTAAATCCATCCCAGGAACATGGGTGGTGTTGGGATCATTATCTTATAGAATGGCCAAGTGCCTGCATCAGAGGCTTTGATATTTCTGGTTGAAAAGGAAAGAAGTCTTTCCAGGCATAACATAATAGGACTAATCAATTTCTATTCTTATCAACAACAGTTACCTTACTGAGCCCTCCCAATGGGACGAGTGCGTCGAACCCAAGAATATTGTGAAATGGAACGTGACCTTGTTTTCCATTCTCTTGGCACTTGGAGGAATCGAATTAATCTTGTGTCTCATCCAGATAATAAATGGCATACTTGGAGGCATATGTGGTTTTTGCTGTTCCCGCCACCAGGTAAGAGGCTCCATGCTAATAAGACCTCATTGGGAACAGAGTATTGTCCAATTTTTGCAATGTAATACAGTTTAAGTTATTGGAGAAACAGAAGCATACAAATATCAACTTCCTGGGTCTGGTTCCTCTGTAATGAAGCTAATTACAACAACAAAAATAAATAAGAAGAATAAGACTATGTAAATAGCATTTATATACATTGCCAAATAAGATAATTGATGCGAAATACTTTGCTAATCTTCAAGTTTATATAAGTATGAGCTGTTATCAGTGGTATCTTATTTGTTCTCAAGTGAATTTGTCTTAAAAATTTGATTTGGGGGAACCATTCCAATTACTATCCCCAGAACATGGTTTATGGTGCCTTCTCTGGTGCTAGAATTAGTAGTTATAACGCTGCCCCTAACAGTCCCATTTACTCTATGAGCTTAAGTCTAAAGAGTCTTGCAGGTGGCAAAATGTTCATTAGAACACAGTGCCTGTAAGGCATGGCTTTCCCCCACCAACCTGCATCTACCAACATTTTGAATTTACCTAGTAGAGCTGATGAGACATAAATAGATACAAGGTATAGTAGGCTCTAGGGTACCCTTCATTCTCTAGTGGGAAGAAGGCAATGCAGAGAATACAAGAACCAAGGACACTTGGTCCATCAGAGAGCCACTGTACGTGAGGGGCATGCTCAACATGGTACATCTAGCTCTGTTAGGCTCATAACAAAGCCCCTCTATGAAAACCAGGAAGCACATGTTTCCTGAGGATATGGTTTAGGGGACAAATACCCTACCATTCAGTTCAGAAAAAAACTATCTGCAATCTCCCCACCCTCTTGCATAATGTTGCTCTGCTGGCCTGGGTGTGTCCAAATTCAATCCAGCAAACGTGGGTTAATGTTCAGTTTGGAGATTTGTTTTTCTTCTGTTGACTTTGTAATCTGGGTAACAGGATTAGGTAAATAGCAGATCTCTCCAGTGGAGAAGCTTAGGTTCTTTTAAATCCAGCTAAACATTTGGCCCTAAGACAAAGAGGTTTCTCCTTTATGGAGTTCCTTCTTTCTTTAAAAGGTAGATCAAACCCCAAACCTAAAAGCCCACCCTTGCCACAAAATTCAACCCTTATTAGGAATAAGAGAAAAACATTCCCGCAAATGAGAACACGAGAACAAAATTTGGTTGCAGAGGGAGCAAGAGTCTGATTTCCTCAAGGGCTTCCGATGCAAGTTTTCTAGGAGTATAAGCTAAGAAAGTATAAGTATAAGATGGAGTACAAATTGAGAAAGGATACTTGGATCTTTGGTGTTGGCTAAATTTGGAGAAGTTCATTACCAAGTCTGGCACCAAATGATGAATTGTTTTGCTTACAGCCTTTTAAGAAGACTATCTACTCAAAGGTCTCCATGAGTGACAACCTTCATCCATGAAATCATGGATCTTTTGAAGCTTTGAAATAATTAATCAATCAACAGTATTTATTAAACATCTAATGTGTGCCAGGGACTATTTTTGGTTCTAAAGATGCAAAGACAAAACAAAAACAGTCCTGGCCCTCAGCTTATATGGGGAGGGGTACAAAGATGGGATAATGTACATATATAGAGATATAAAAAAGAGATATAAACTAGGTTTTTTTATGAGGAACAGAGAGGGAAGCACAGATAGCTGGGGGTATCAGGAAAGGCTTCCCATAGAAAGTGACATGAACGATTATAATTAAGTTGATGGATTTGACGCTAAGAAGACTTGAGTTCAAACACCAGCTCTGCCACTGATTTGTGGCCTTGGGCAAATCACAACCTCTATGGACCTCAGTTTCCTTATCTGTAAAATGCTAAAGTTAGACGGGATGATTTCTGAGATCCATTCCAACTCTAAATCTACAAGATTTAGAGTTGGATTTACAAGAGCAATTCTCACGTGGGTGAAAGAATACCTATTGACCAAGAGGTTCACATCCGTGATTCCCTCTCCAATGGCCAGCCCATTGAACAGATCTATGATTTTGCAAATGTTCTCTCTTTTCTTATGAAACCTTTTCATTATAAATTCATCATACATTTGAAAGAGAACACTAACTCACACACACAAGCACATCAGTAACTTTCCATTCCAGTGGGCCTTTTTTTTTTTTTTTTTTTGTCGTTTTCCCTCAGGACTTCTGCTTGGTTATGAAATTTAATAAATATTTTTTTAAGCCTTGGGCATTGTTTACAGGGAATATTGCTTTAAACTTGGTGACTGGTTATTTCCTTTTTGCAAATGTCCTGCAGTGTGAGAAGACATTTTATAGGTCTACTTGGAGTAGTAACTCCAGGCCATCAGTGATTTCATTGGTATGGGTACTTTCTCTGCTTAGCAGTTTGTCTTTGAGAGTATCTTTGGCTGAGAATTCATCACTCCCATAAAGGTGGGCCTCTTTGAACTCAGATAGGTTGATTCTTGGACCATAGAAATATAGCCCATCACCAGTCCTGTACTTGACTTTTTTCAAGTGGAGATCATGTTCTGCTAGCTGACATGACCTTTGCCATGGGTCACCTCCATACCATGATGAGACCTCAGAGTAAGGTTTTTAATGGCAGCCTTATAGAGATAAGGACCAGATCTGTGATTCCATGAATGTAGGGCACTCCCAAGTAAGATAACTTCCTCTTCCAATGCAGATCAGTACCTTCTCTACAAATCATAGTCTTAGACCGTGCCCTAGACCACTGAGAAGTTAAATGATTTGTCCAAGGCTACAGAGCCAGTATGTATCCGGGGCAAGACTTGGACCAAAGTCTTCATGGCTTCAAGTTCAGCCCTCTACACATTATGCCACAGTATTCCTCTAATGGACAGGACAGAGTGCCTTAAAATGTTAAAATCTTCAGGGCTGACTGTTGATAATGCTGTCTATTCTCTTTCCTTTATAGCAATATGACTGCTAGAAGAACTACCCCAGAAGAGAAGCCAGAATCTTCCTGAATTTCACTGTAATTTATGTTTCATTTTTATTAATTTGTAAAACTTTGTATTAGTATTTGTATCATATTGCATATACTTTACTTTTATAAATCTGTACAGAGACTGGAATGTCTGTGCTACGGCAAGACCTGAACTTGGTGATATCAAGACTCATCCAATGCAGGAGAAACTTAAACCTATTTTCTAGAGGATTTTCACTGGAATAAGTAGAGATGTCTCCCTAGCATATCAGGCCACAAAATTAAGTCATACTTTGGACAAACATCCCATGGATAGAAATGACATTCTGATAAGGACTGCACACATGTGCATGAATATTTTTTAGATAAGAAGCATCCTGGAATTCTTTTATTTAAAAAAAGAAGAAGGAAAGAAAACCCAGAAAGAAACCTTCTTTCACTGTGTGTATGGTGTTTCCCATTTGTATAGTATTTCCAAGAGTCTTCAGAAGTTCCTTTAGCTCAAGTGACAGTGTTAACTGGGATGGAGGGAATGCATACCTGCAACCTGTGAGAATTGCTCAACGAAGTTGTCCTGGGACTGACGAAAGAGGAGCTTAGTGTAGCTGTACCTTTATGTTTTCCTAGCTGTGTTTTTGCATGACATGAAGATCTGCAACAAGAAAGGAGCTTTGGCAAAGTTAAGAGAAGGCTGTGGAGAAGTCATCAAAGAAGAAAACAAAGAGGGAGACGGATTGAAGCAGTGAAAACAAAACAAAACAGTATTAATGGAGGAAGAAGGCATCCAGCCCCCTCCCCCCCCCATGACAAACTCATGGAAGGATATTGACTACAGTCATGCAGGTTGGCCCAGCATAGATGGGGTTAGAGTTGGTATTTAAGTGTTTAGAGAAAAGACGGACTGAGAGTAGGTACTGTACCAAACACCCCAAGTCTTTGTACAAAAAAAAAAATTAAAAAGCATATTTATCACATTTTAACCTCTTCCCTCCTCCACTCATAATTTTAAAACTCTCTCTTCTTTTTTCTAATTGTTCTTCCTTGTCTAGGCTCCCACTCCCATTGTTGGAAAAAGTAATAGGGTTTACATTTCTCTCCCCGCTCCCACCTCAGTTTCTTTACTTTGTCTCCTCCACCACCCCCCCCGCCCCCGACCCCATTTCACCAGTAGTCCCCATTGACCCACAGTCCCTTAGGGCTCTTATTTCTCTTCAGATTTCCTTCATTCTTCTCCTGACCAGTGTGGAAACTTTCATTTGCTGCCCAACTGCCCTCTGGGTCACACTCCCAGAGGAATATGCCAAAAGTTTTCTATTGGAATATTTTATGTGTGCCGGGAGACAACCAGGCCCCAGCCGAAGTCTGCTGCCTTTTCAGAAGTTGTCTGTGATGCTGTTATCTCTTCTCCTGACTTGGTCCGTCCACCAAAATGATTACAGAAGTAAGATGGAAAAGAAGTGGGGGAGAGTGTAGGGAACAAGCATTTATTAAGTGCCTACTATGTGCTAGGCACGGAGCCAAGCACTTTACAAATATCTCATTTGAAAGAAATCTCAGCTAGCCACAAAGTAATCAGATATATACATTCTGGCAATCCTAGAGTGCTTTTAGGTGTCCTGATAGGTAAGGCATATGTATAGAGCACTTGGCATATATTATGTTATTTGAGCCTTACAACCCAATAAGATACATGTAAGACACATCTTCATTTTTCAGTCCTAGAGAAGTTGTGTTGTGTCCAGGTTCACCTGGCTATTAAAGCAGAATTCAAACTCAGGTCTTTTACTAAGTCCAAGTCCAGAATTCTCTCCCTTGCCCTGAACTACCTATAATGCCAACATGAAATCTGACAAGGTATGATGAAATATTTCCCTGACTTTTAATTCAATTCAATCCACCAATATTTTATTGAGTGTTAGTGATATGCTAGGCAGTGGAGATGCAAAGCCCCAAATGAAAAAAAGTCCCTTTCAAAAAGGAGTTTATATTTTAATGAACCATCCTTTCAGACTTATACCCAGGGATATCTCTATATAGAGATACACACATACTACAGATAGATAGATAGATAGAGAGAGAGAGAGATAGATAGATAAGTAGATAGATAGTATATATATATATATGTGTAAGTATATATTTGTATATATACATGTGTTGTTGTTTAATCCTTTTTTAGCTATGTCTGACTCTTTGTCACCTAATTTGGGGTTTTCTTGGCAAAGATACTGGAGTTGTTTGTCATTTCCTTCTCCAGTTCATTTGACAGATGAGGAAACTGAGGCAAATAAGTGACTTATCCAGGATCACATAGCTAGTAAGTGCCTGAGGCTGGATTTGAACTCAGGAAGATGAGTCTTCCTGACTCCAGGTCTAGCATTCTAGCCGCTGTGCCACCTATACACATACACACACACACACACACACACACACACACACACACACACATATATGAAATATATTATTTGTATACACATATCCATATATATGCATATTATATGTATATATGTACATACACATATATACATATACATGTTAGCCTACTGTGTTATAGTCTTAAAAAAAATAACCAGTGCTCATGATAGCAGTAGTCATCCCTAAAATCATAGCTTTAGAACTGGGAGGGATCTGAGACATCATCTCATCTAATCCCCCCATTTTCCAGCTGTGGAGAGAGAGGCCAGATATGGGAGCTGATTTGCCCAGGGCCACACAGGTAGGAAGTGGCAAAATGGGGAAAGCCCATCTTCTGACTTTAGAAGCAGACCTCTTTTTCACTGAACCCCACCGCCTTCAAAGCAACAGGAGTTCGTATTTGCACAAGCCTGGAAATTGCCTATTTGCAGTTCACCTCTGTTTTAAATTCTTTGGCAGGCTGCTTCTGTCCCAAACCACTTCCTATTCCTAAACCTAAATTCTAGTGACTCAAAGTTTCCACCAGCTTGCAAATTAATTAACGATAAACAGATGCTTTCTTAGTCACACAGATTAAAGAACTTGCCTGAGGATCCCAAGGAGAAATAGCTTCCCACTTTAGCTGTTTATAACATAAACCCTGGGTTTACACTGCATCCTTAAACTTGACCGAGGGAAAAAAAAACCCAGTTAACACAGACAAAATGGGTTTTTATTTACTGGTACCTTAAGAAAAACATAAATATTGATGTAGAAAAATAGCAAAGCACATGGTGCCAAACGTCCTGAATTTGCAGTAGTTACTACCTTCGTGGGACCCCAGGGGCCATGTGGTCTAACTTCTTCCTTTTTCAGTTGAGGAAACTGAAACCTGGGAGTTAAAATGACTCAGACAAAGCTATACAGGGAATAAATATCAGAGGTAGAGTTTGGGGGCAGGTTTTCTGCCCCCTGAATTCAGCACCTCTTCCACCATACCATTCAGGAGCCTCATTGAGGAAGTTTCCTTAAATGAAAATTAATGAGTGTCTATGCAGCAAAGGTTGGACAGTGGTTTTCTTTGACAATCTTACTATCTGCCACTGAGAAGAGCCAGTTGGTTTTTTCTGTTGTTGTTGTTTGGTTTGTTTTTTGTTTTTGTTTTTGTTTTACAGGCAGCCTGAGGCACCAGTAGGGCAGAAGTCCATTACAACTCAAGATCTGTCTCTGCTAACAGCACTTCCAAAGACCATTCAGGCCTCTGATGACTCTAGAATAAAACTTATTTCTGGTTTTTAAGGAGCCTCATGAAAAGGGTGGTACCCCAAAACACGAGGAAATCATTGTGTTCTTGACTTGTATGTCAGTGTAGTGTACGCTGAACACTAGAGAACAATGACACCATCAGGTGAAGGGAAAAGAATGATGTCAGCTGAAAGAGGCTGTGACCATAGTGAAAGGCCCAGTCCAAAAAACCAAACCCAAACAAAAACTGTCTCTGTAGAGTGAGAGGGGAGGGCATGCTGCTGGGTTCCACTCTATCTCAGCAATACTCAGATTCATGTCAATGAAAACAAACGTGAAACACATCCCATGAAGGGAATGCAGTGAAGTTAATTTGAGTCAAGTCAGCAAACATTTATTAAGGGCTTTTTATGTGCAAGGCACATATGCTCTTAGGGTATATAAAAAAAAAGACAAAAAAACAATCCTTATCCTCAAGGAGGAGACAACATGGAAACTACTAGGTGTAAATGGTAAATCTCAGAAAGAAGGCACTAGCAAGGGGAAGAGAGGGAGAGGCAGGAAAGGCATCCAGCAGAGGTGAAGAAGAACATTCCAGGCATGGGGGATAGCCAGTGAAAAAGGCTAGAGTGGGAGATAGAGTGACTTGTGCGAGAAACCAAGAAAAATGCCGGTGTCGCCGGATCATAGAGTATAAGGGAGAAAAGAGTAAGAAGACCATCCCTTTCAGTCTTCTTACACTTTTCTTCCCAAATAGAAGAGATTTATTTTTTGATCCTGGAAGTAATAGGGAGTCACTGTAGTTTATGGAGTAAGGGAGTGACCTGGTCAGATCTGCTCTTTGGGAAGATCTTGACAGCTGAGTGGGAGATACAGTAGAGAGAAGAGAGACTTGAAACATGGATACCAATTGGAAGAATATTGCAATAATTCAGCCCTTAGATGAAGGTCTCCACTAGTGTGGCTATTTCAAAGGAGAAAAGGGGGCATGTAAGAAAGAAATTGCCAAGTTAGAAACAACTAGACAGGGCAAAAGTTAGATATGTAGAGTGAAAGAAAGAGTGAGAATTCAAGGATGATGTTCAAGTCTCAAGTCACCCTTGGGAAGATGGTGATGGCAATTAGAAGTTCAGAAGAGGGAAAGTGCTAGAGGGAAAGATACTTAGTTCAATTATGAATATATTGAGTTTAAGCTGTCTCTGGGATCTCTAGTTTGAGACATACAATAGTAGATGTAGACATGAGACTGGAGGTCAGGACATAGGGTAGGGCTAGATAGGGCTAAATGAATAGATTTCAGAATTATCTGCAAAAAGATTGATAGGAGTTGATGAGATAACTAAGGGAAATAGTATAGAGAGAGAAGAGATGACCCGGGACAGAACCATGGTGGACATTCACTATTAGCGGGAGGATTGGAATGAATGTTCAGCAAAGAAGTAGTCAGACACTGGAAAGAAGAGAAAGTGAAGGAGAAGAGAGTGAAGGACAGTGTCAAAGGCTACAGAGAAGAAAGGTGAGGATTGAAAAAAAAAATGAGGTTTGGCAATTAAGACATCATTGGGAACTTTGGAGAAAGCCCTTTCAGTTGAATGATGAAGTAGGAAGCCAGACTACAGATAGAAGAGAGTGAGGATAAAGTAAGTAGAGATGCTGATTATAGATGACTCTCTTAAGGATTTTAGCCAAAAAAGGAGGAGAGATATAGGGCAGTAGCTGGGAGGCGTGTTAAGCAGCTAAGTTACAAAATGGATCAAGTATTGGACTTGGAATCAGGAAGAACTGAGATCAAATCTTGCCTTAGGCACTTATTAGCTGAATGATCCTGGGCAAGTCATTCAGTCTCAGTTTCCTCACCTGTGTAATTGGTGCCTGTAGTTGCTTTACAGACTTTAAAGTCTATGAAAATGCTAGCTGAGGCAAGACGTGAGCTCCGGTTTTCCTGACTCTGAGCCTAGACACCCAGCATAGAAGAATGGAAAGAATGTTCCATTATCCCTGGAATCAGAGGATCTGGGTTCAGATCCTCCTTCTGACATATCACAGGTGTGGCCTTGGGCAAATCATGTAACCACTCCAGGATTCAATTTCCTCATTTGTCAGATAAGGAGAGTGGGACTAGATGATAGCTGCTGTCCTTTCTACCTCTAAATATATGGGTACCTCTTCATATAGAAGAAAATTTTATTTTATTTTATTTTATTTTTCAGGAAGTAGATACAATTCAATTTCACATGAAATGTGTGGTGCTCTCTAAAAATGTATGCATTAAAGCAAGGTAATTGGGAATAGGACTGTATTTAAAATAAATTTGAACATGAGAGGGAAAAGGGAAAGTGAGCAT